AACTTTTTCCGAGGCTTTCACTTGCCTCAATTCGAAATAATCTCACAAACATTTTCAAAACCGCGTGCCATGTTGAACAAAACAAAGAAAACAAGTTTCTCGTGACGTCATCCATGTATCTGTACTCTAATAGATCATGGGCAACGACCAATCACAGCGCGCGTAGCATTCACATCATTGTATAAATTCTTACAGTGCACTGCGTCTTATAGCGTACCGAGGTACTTGTCTTACTTGTGTGTCTTGGGTTGCTTGACTGTCTTGGCCTACTTAAATTACTTGGCGTGCTTGAGGTACTTGGCTTACTTGTGTGTCTTGGGTTGCTTGAGTGTCTTGCCTTACTTTTGTGTCTTGGCGTACTTCAGTTACTTGGCGTTCTTGAGGTACATGGCTTACTTTTGTGTCTTGGCTCACTTAAGTGTCTTGGCCTACCTCAGTTACTTGGCGTGTTTGAGTGTCCTGGCGTACTTTTGTGTCTAAGCCTACTTCGGGTACTTGGCGTGCTTGAGGTACTTGGCTTACGTGTGTCTTGGATTGCTTCAGTGTCTTGGCCTACTTCAGTTACTTGGCGTGCTTGAGGTACTTGGCGTACTTCTGTGTCTTGGATTGCTTCAGTGTCTTGGCTTACTTTTGTTACTTGGCCTGCTTGAGGTACTTGGCTTACTTTCGTGTCTTGGGTTGCCTTGGTATCTTGGCCTACTTCAGTTACTTGGCGTGCATAAGTTACTTGGCTTATATTTGTGTCTTGGGTTGTTTTAGTGTCTTGGCTCACTTTTGTGTCTTGGCCTACTTCAGTTACTTGGCGTTCTTGAGGTACTTGGCTTACTTTTGTGTCTTCGATTGCTTCAGTGTCTTGGCCTACTTCAGTTACTTGGCGTTCTTGAGGTACTTGGCTTACTTTTGTGTCTTCGATTGCTTCAGTGTCTTGGCCTACTTCAGTTACTTGGCGTTCTTGAGGTACTTGGCTTACTTTTGTGTCTTCGATTGCTTCAGTGTCTTGGCCTACTTCAGTTACTTGGCGTTCTTGAGGTACTTGGCTTACTTTTGTGTCTTTGATTGCTTCAGTGTCTTGGCCTACTTCAGTTACTTGGCGTTCTTGAGGCACTTGGCTTACTTTTGTGTCTTCGATTGCTTCAGTGTCTTGGCCTACTTCAGTTACTTGGCGTTCTTGAGGTACTTGGCTTACTTTTGTGTCTTTGATTGCTTCAGTGTCTTGGCCTACTTCAGTTACTTGGCGTTCTTGAGGCACTTGGCTTGCTTTTGTGTCTTCGATTGCTTCAGGTTCTTGGCCTACTTCAGTTACTTGGCGTTCTTGAGGCACTTGGCTTGCTTTTGTGTCTTGGGTTGCTTCAGGTTCTTGGCCTACTTCAGTTACTTGGCGTTCTTGAGGCACTTGGCTTACTTTTGTGTCTTCGATTGCTTCAGTGTCTTGGCCTACTTCAGTTACTTGGCGTTCTTGAGGTACCTGGCTTACTTTTGTGTCTTGGGTTGCTTGAGTGTCTTGGCATACTTTTGTGTCTTGGGTTCCTAGCAAATCATTGAATTTAGACACCACACGACATGTTCATCCACAAAATTAGTCGTGCAGCGAGTCAGTGGCACAGAACTTTTTGGACAAAAGAACTGGATGTCGAGAGTTCATCCGACCTCCAGGAGTTCAGCCTATGAACGTCCGATTAGTGAAACGAATATTCCACCACCGAAACGTTTTCAGGGAATGTGTTGCAACTGTCTACTCACCAGCGTTCGCATAACACGTTCGTTTTTCACCTAATTACATGTATAGTGTTTAGTTACAAGTCCCAAAAGAGGCATCATACTTTCTATTTGTGTTACATCGGACAAGGCATACATGTGCATGCTTTTCCTATTAATTAACCAGTGAAAAGACCATAAAAAAGAATTTACACTCTGTGTTGTGTTCCAGACGACGGAATTCCAAGAACAGTACAAGGGAATCATAATTATTTTTACTTCCACTTTACTGCCAGTTGTTACGCGTTTTTGAAAAAACACCACTGTATTTAAGATGTTAAGGGAGAAAGGTAAATTCTCAAATTGCAATGAAGACAATAAAGGCAGCAAACCCTAAATTATAAAAAAGAAAAAAAAAACTTGCTAATTATACTTTAAAGAGAAATAATTTGATCTCAAAAACGCTCACTAACTAGCTCGCTTGTTTTGGTTTAAATTTAACAAAATCATTTTTATAAAAAATTGAAATAATGAGGCAGCACGAAAATTAAAAAACTTTTTCATTTTTTTATTCTCACGGCTTGTTTATTAACCTATACTGGTATTACTGCTTTTGCTTTGATTGTTATCATAACTCGTTTAATGAACGATGAAAACAGTTATGTAACTCGTGGCAGCTTCAATGTATCATTTGTACAATGTATAGTTGTCATCCAGAGTTTAGACTACGAGCAGCCTCTTGTTTTTTTTCTTAGTCCGTGAGACACGCAAATCATCATGCGCGTGCCGCTTTTGCGAGCGTCTGTCCCCCTCTCCCACCCCCTCGATGAATCTACAGAAAAAGAGAAACTGCGTGCAGTCTATCCTAACCTGAGATCAGGCCCAATTTTAGCGGTTCTCATACATTCTCCTTGCCCGCTGGAATGTTATTTTCAAAGCGAAACAAAAATAGAGCCCGATCTTAGGTTAAGTCTATCCAGAGTTTCTCACATGGGCAGCCTGTGTCAACCAAAGGAAAGAGATCGCTCTTTCAGCTGACA